ATATTTTGCGCTCTCCTCTTTCACCCTCATTAAAAGGTTCTTTAATTCCTCCTCACTTTCTGCCATCAAGGTTGTGTCATCTGCATATCTGAGGTTGTTGATATTTCTTCCGGCGATCTTAATTCCGGCTTGGGATTCATCCAGCCCAGCCTTTCGCATGATGAATTCTGCATATAAGTTAAATAAGCAGGGGGACAATATACAGCCTTGTCGTGCTCCTTTCCCAATTTTGAACCAATCAGTTGTTCCATATCCAGTTCTAACTGTAGCTTCTTGTCCCACATAGAGATTTCTCAGGAGACAGATGAGGTGATCAGGCACTCCCATTTCTTTAAGAACTTGCCATAGTTTGCTGTGGTCGACACAGTCAAAGGCTTTTGCATAGTCAATGAAGCAGAAGTAGATGTCTTTCTGGAACTCTCTAGCTTTCTCTATAATCCAGCGCATGTTTGCAATTTGGTCTCTGGTTCCTCTGCCTCTTCTAAATCCAGCTTGCACTTCTGGGAGTTCTCGGTCCACATACTGCTTAAGCCTGCCTTGTAGAATTTTAAGCATAACCTTGCTAGCGTGTGAAATAAGTGCAATTGTGCGGTAGTTGGAGCATTCTTTGGCACTTCCCTTCTTTGGGATTGGGATGTAGACTGATCTTCTCCAATCTTCTGGCCACTGCTGAGTTTTCCAAATTTGCTGGCATATTGAGTGTAGCACCTTAACAGCATCATCTTTTAAAATTTTAAATAATTCAGCTGGAATATCATCACTTCCACTGGCCTTGTTATTAGCGATGCTTTCTAAGGCCCATTTGACTTCACTTTCCAGGATGTCTGGCTCAAGGTCAGCAACCACACTACCTGGGGTATACGAGACATCAATTTCTTTCTGGTATAGTTCCTCTGTGTATTCTTGCCACCTCTTCTTGATGTCTTCTGCTTCTGTTAGGTCCTTTCCACTTTTGTCTTTTATTATGGAAATCTTTGTACAAAATGTTCCTTTCATATCTCCAATTTTCTTGAACAGATCTCTGGTTCTTCCCATTCTATTGTTTTCCTCTATTTCTTTGCATTGCTCGTTTAAGAAGGCCTTCTTGTCTCTCCTTGCTATTTTTTGGAAATCTGCATTCAATTTCCTGTATCTTTCACTATCTCCCTCGCATTTTGCTTGCCTTCTCTCCCCCGCTATTTGTAAGGCCTCGTTGGACAGCCACTTTGCTTTCTTGCATTTCCTTTTCATTGGGATGGTTTTAGTTGCTGCCTCTTGTATAATGTTACGAGCCTCCATCCATAGTTCTTCAGGCACTCTGTCCACCAAATCTAAATCCTTAAACCTGTTCCTCACTTCCACTGTGTATTCATAAGGGATTTGACTTAGATTGTATCTTACCGGCCCAGTGGTTTTTCCTACTTTCTTCAGTTTAAGCTTGAATTTTGCTATAAGAAGCTGATGATCTGAGCCACAGTCAGCTCCAGGTCTTGTTTTTGCTGACTGTATAGAGCTTCTCCATCTTTGGCTGCAGAGAATATAATCAATCTGATTTCGATGCTGCCCATCTGGTGATGTCCATGTGTAGAGTCGTCTCTTGTGTTGTTGGAAAAGCGTGTTTGTGATGACCAGCTTGTTCTCTTGACAGAACTCTATTAGCCTTTGCCCTGCTTCGTTTTGAACTCCAAGGCCAAACTTGCCAGTTGTTCCTTTTATCTCTTGATTCCCTACTTTAGCATTCCAATCCCCTATTATGAGCAGAACATCCTTCTTTGGTGTCATTTCTATAAGGTCTTGTAAGTCTTCATAGAATTGGTCAATTTCAGTTTCTTCAGCACCAGTAGTTGGTGCATAAACTTGGATTACTGTGATGTTAAAAGGTCTGCCTTGGATTCGTATCGAGATCATTCTATCATTTTTGAGATTGCATCCCAGTACAGCTTTCACCACTCTTTTGTTGTATGTTTTGTGTATGTTTATATATGAATACAAATATCTGGAACCAAACGTAAATGTGTGTAATTATATACAAAGAATGTGGGATTTTTATTCCACCAAATACCCTCCCCACTCTTTCCTGCCAAAAGGAAAATATGGATATGCAGACAGAGTATTCCCCAAACTTTCAATTCAAACTGCTAAAATAAAACTACAAGGGCTGTTAATCCTTCTGCTTGCGGGTATAGACTTGTATCAACAACTGTGGTCAAGAGACATTTCAGCAGCTTTGTGGTAGATTTTGCAAAATTAGGTTCCTGCTGATGGTTTTATGACTTCTTCTTAAGTATCCAGCCTAGACTACTGAAGATGGTTTGGATGGGCCATTAGTTATTTAAAGGATGGTAAATTTTTAAGTTCATAATTTAGTTTTATGGACGTTTGTTTTAGATGGTACAAGAGAAGGCAGCAAAATGTACCAAAATGTGTTCATACCTACCAAACTTATTTAAACATTTATATTTTCTTTACCTTGCTCCTCAGATGTAAAAGCTTACATATCAATAATTTAAAATTTTAAAAGACAACCCCTGCCTTCAAGCTCACAGTCTAAAAGTCATAACACAAAAGGAAAAAGGGGGATGGGGAGGTGGGAGCAAGACAAAAAAACCTCTAGTCCATGGAATGTGTCTTAATGTTAGGAATGTCTAACTGGGAAGGTTTGTTCTGTCACCTTGTGTTTCCTCTACTACCAGGGTTACTTGTTGTTGTTTAGTCGTTTAGTCGTGACTGACTCTTCATGACCCCATGGACTAGAGCATGCCAGGCACTCCTGTCTTCCACTGCCTCCCGCAGTTTGGTCAGACTCATGTTTGTAGCTTCGAGAACGCTGTCCAACCATCTCGTCCTCTGTCTTCCCCTTCTTCTTGTGCCCTCAATCTTGCCCAACATCAGGGTCTTTTCCAGGGAGTCTTCTCTTCTCATGAGGTGGCCAAAGTATTGGAGCCTCAGCTTCACGATCTGTCCTTCCAGTGAGCACTCAGGGCTGATTTCCTTAAGAATGGATACGTTTGATCTTCTTGCAGTCCATGGGACTCTCAAGAGTCTTCTCCAGCACCATAATTCAAAAGCATCAATTCTTCGGCGATCAGCCTTCTTGATGGTCCAGCTCTCACTTCCATACATCACTACTGGGAAAACCAGGGTTACTAGAGACTGTTAAATAGAGATTAGGCACAAATCTGGCTAGTCACACCTTCAGTAGTATAGGTCCCTCTTCAGCCACCTTCTCCCTTTCCTGATCCTTCCTCATTGCCAATGCAAATGAGAATTTTATTGGTTTCTTCAAGGCTCCTCCTCCTCTTACCAACGTTACAAAACTCCAGCTGTTTTCTGCTCATTCTTCATCAATACTTCCTCAAGCCCTGACCAAGCCTTCACCTATGTCTTGAAGGTGCAAGATTCCCCAATTAGCAGAACCATATGCTGCAAAGTTTTGCTAAGATGTACCCACTCAGATTACAAGTAAGGAATAGCATGTTTGAATACTCTCTCATATAAAAAGCTTTCTCCATACAGAACACTTGCAAGTTAGGGACACAATTGCTTTTTAAATTCAGTTGTAGTGGAGCAATAGAGACAAGTTTTTCCTATTGTCTGGGGATGGGCAATTTGTGGTAATATCACGGGGATGGGCAATTTGTGGTAATATCACGAATTTTATGGTCTTTTTTTTTAAAGTATACTTAAAACCATTTGCTTTTTAGGGGCTACCCCAAATTTCTTCAAAAAATTGCTTTGCTACCCCACATTTTCTTCAAAAATTTGCTTTGCATCGGTAAATACCACAGAGTGATCAACATTTTCAAAAGTAAGGGGTCCGTGGCTTGGCTTTTGAAAAATAGGGGGGTCCTCAGTAATTACCTAATTGGGAACCACTGCTGTACATGGATGAACACAGTGGCTTGCTTCTGTTTATAATCAGGCTTCTCCTTTCATGGAGTCATGACCCAATAAGTTCCCAAGCATTGAGGCATAAGCTGCTTCTCCTGCACAGTGTCTCAGCCAGAGGCCTCTCCATCTTCACTAATTTGGCGTGGAGGGGTGTTGGGGTATCTGACTGTCTGTGTAGGCAGGAGCCTGGCAATGGGGAAGGGGTTGTCTTCAGCGTCTGGGGCTAGTGATAACCAGTGAACTTGGATGAGGGCCCTGGTGCCATTGTCAGAGGGGCAGGTTAGTATTGGCATTGTTGTGGGTTCACAAAAAGCATATCTTGCTAGAGAGTGATTTTGAAAGGACAGCTCGTTTATTACAGAAGATTGAAGGCCTTATGTGATGAAAACAATGTATAATTCTCATAAATCCTGCCAGATGTTGACAAGGAATAATGTGTCAAGCAACAAAGCATTGAGGGTTGTTATGAGGGAGGCCAGTATGGGCATTGGCTTAAAGTGGTTGCCAGTGTCGCCTTGATTCTAAAAGCAGGAAAGGGGGGCTTGTAGTTTACTGTATAGCAAAAATGCAAAATATTTCAGTGAATATCTGTCACCTGGTTGGTCTCTTTACATGCTAGTTCCTAATGCTTGGGAGCTGCTGCTAGTTTGGGGAGTTTGATCCCATGATGTAAAGTTGTTTACTATGTTTTAATGCACAGGAAAAGGTAAAGGGTAAAGGGACCCCTGACCATTAGGTCCAGTTGTGGCCGATTCTGGGGTTGCGGCGCTCTTCTCACTTTATTGGCCGAGGGAGCCGGCGTACAGCTTCTGGGTCATGTGGCCAGCATGACTAAGCTGCTTCTGGCAAACCAGAGCAGCGCATGGAAACGCCGTTTACCTTCCCGCTGGAGCCGTACCTATTTATCTACTTGCACTTTGACATGCTTTCAAACTGCTAGGTTGACAAGAGCTGGGACCGAGCAACGGGAGCTCACCCCATCGTGGGGATTCGAACCGCAGACCTTCTGATCGGCAAGTCCTAGGCTCTGTGGTTTAACCCACAGCGCCACCTGCGTCCCAGGAAACCCATCACTAAATAATTGGATTTGGTTAACAACATATCTGAGATGCTGTTTTCTTTCCTTCCAGAGACCCCAGCTCTCCTTTCCTTCACTGAAGCAGAAATGGGAAGAATATCGGCTCCAGTGTTTGGAGTATCTCCATGAAACACCCCCTCTTATGGCAGGTAAGGCTGCTCAGCACAAATGGCACTCCCAAAGAGCATCCTAACTGCATACTGCTACAGTTCTCATAGGCCATAATGTGCTTTCCATCATCTCCCCTTCCTATTAGTTTTTGCAACCTGGTCTACAGTGTCCTGAAGGGCCAAGTTCCTAACGATGGAAGGAAATGAATTTTGCTAAGTTATAGAGTGTGAGCCTCCCGCAGCTAGAAGAGAAGGATTGTAACTCAGTTGTAGAGCTTGCTTTGCATACAAAAGGTTACAGGTTCCATCCCTGTTATCTTCAGCTGGTAGTGGAACAGATGTCTTTCTGAACCTTGGAGACTCACTGTTGGTCTAAGTGAACAGTACTGAGCTACATGGGTCAATAGTCTGATTAAAATTAGGGGATGTTGTGTGGGATGTGGGAGGGAGTCAGAAACAAAAACAATAGTGGGCATCAAGTACATGCCCCCCGTCCTGTATTTGACAGACTAATTGTGGAGTGGCTCCACCTAGGCATGTACTCGTAACTTTTGCTGCTGGGTGCTCCAGTGCAGTGTGTGCCATAATTATTATGGGGGTGCTGGTCCATGTACAAGGGGGGAATTCCCCTACCTCACATTACAATGTTCAGTAAGCTGTCCCCCCTTTTTTTGCTATCTGCATTCAGAAGGGAAATGATTGTGTTTTAAGACAACATTTTTTATATATTTATTTTTTTAAAACACACATCCTGGTATTGTATTAATTAAAGGCATTTAGGATAGCTTACATTAAAAGTTTATATGTTCAAATATTAAACATATATATTACTGTAAGTATACAGTATCAGTGCATCATAGTGGTAGGAGTAATTTAGTCAGCTAAAATTACTTGGTAAAACAAATATGTATTAACAGGCTTTCTAAAACTGGACTTGGCAGGTGTCTTATCAGAAAAGGGTTCCAGATTGGATCATTGTTGCTGAATATGTACCTGTTCCACTATAATAACCTTGATGAAATAAGGCAGATGGAAGAAGGCTGTATTGGATTGTTTTAAATGTGTGTATGCCCATATCAGGAGGAGGCAGCCTAAGATCCAAATTTTATGCAAGATTGATTGTATGTTTTTTTTTTTAAAAAAATTACAAATTATTTTCATCATGCCCTTGCTTTATCACTTACATATCACAAAATGTTGGGTTGTTTTGACTGTATGACAGTATCAAAACCTGTACCAACCAACTGAATGAAAACACAACCTACTGTAACAAGTTCAGGTTTCTGGTCATTTGGTTCCTAGTACAATATTTGAAAAAGAAAGCCTGCAGCATTAAAATGTTCTGGTCCCAACCCACTGGAATGGATAAGACTCGATCTGTACCCCCCCCATATATATTAAAGCATTAGATTTTTCCATTGCTTCTTCTTAGAATTGCCCTGTAACATTAGAGAATGACACTCGCTGGTAGCAATAATAGTAAGAAGGTATTAATCTCTCTTTGCTCTGCTAGGCAGCCAACACTACACTCCTAGGCTGATGGTTTAATAAATCTGAAACTGAGCCTTTAGCGTGTTGAATAAGCTATAATGCTGATTGGTGGGCTTTTGTGTGAGTATTTCAGCAATGTGTCAGTGTGTATAGTGTAGAATTAAGAGCATGACAGCAGATCATTTGTATTGAGAAAAATACATAAGGTATGTTGAGTTATTGAACTAGCAAATGCAATGCCAGAGACATGTGTTGCAAACCAGACAAAGCAGGATATCTGGTACCAGGATAATACCTTCAATGGCAGCTGCTCCTCTTCCATAGGCTACAGTGATAATCTTAACAATTCAAGACCAAGTTGCTGGTCAGCTGAGACAGGTGAAGAACCACTGAAGTCATACTTAGCCATTTAGCAAGTAGAATTGGAGCTGATGGTGAAGCACAATCACCTTATGCCAGGGATTCAATGAGGAAAGCGACAAGGACCCAAGAAACGAGCTGAGGGCACATGACACAGCTGCCTTGCTGAAGCTAAGTAGATTAGGGTCTGGTCAGTATCTGGATGGGAGACCACCTAGGAACCCCATGAGTTTCAAGATAGACGATAAAGGGGATAGAAGTATATTGAATTAATAAACAGAATGGCAAGAACTTCACTAACAAATGCTGTGAATTGTTTGTGCAGTCTGTATTGAGTCATGCTATTAAATTACAGTTGTAGCTGTCTAGCAGCTTGAAGTAAATTGTAAAGATAGAATGGTTATTTTTCCTACCTCCTTCCCCCCCAGTGTTTGTGTCTATGTGTTGTGGGGTGTTATTAGGGAACGGGCTGTCATTATTACAACACTTGGTTCTGGATTGGGTTTCTGTTCAGTCTTAGTTGCTGAACAGGGCTGTAGAAGCATTGAGACTGATGATTGGTGTAAGACACAAATAATGGATTTAGATCTTTTTTTGGGGGGGGGTACCTATCTAATATTATATCCTCCCAACCTGGACTCTTGCAATGCAACCTCATAAAGCTGCTTCTTCATTTTCTTCCAATTTCTCTCCAAATATTCTCTATCTGTAGAAGGCAAGTTCTGCAACAGGACATTTGATGAATATGCATGCTGGCCTGATGGTCTGCCTGGCACCTATGTGAACATGAGCTGCCCTTGGTATCTTCCATCAGCTAGCCCAGGTAAGTACGTTTTCCTGTCTTTGAAGAACATCCAGTATACACAATTTCTCTCCCACCAGCCTGCTAATTTTATTGATATGTTTGTTGCGTGTATATTCTGCCACTCCTTTAAAGAACTCAAGGTGGAAGACATGATTCTCACTTCCCATCTTATCCTCAAAAACAGGTAGGTTAGGCTAAGAGAGAGCCCAAGGTCACCCACTGAGCCTCATGGTCAAGGGGAGACTTGAATATTGCGCTTCTTGGTTGTGGTTCGACACTCTTAGCCGCTAACTTGCTAAATTTGCTAAAGTTCATCTGGAACTCTGCATGTTCCCAACAGCTATGTGTGTAGTCTGACTTCTCTCTGAACAATGAGTGCAAGCATCACTGTGGTATAATAGTAAATGCATGTGCAGTGTAAACCCAGCTTGATCATGGAAATATAAGTGGCAAGCAATAGGGCCTTGCAAGCCAGAAACATGAGCAGGTCTGCATGAACCTAATTAATCACACCCACACTCACACACACTAACTCCTTTTTGTAGTTACCACTTAGGTGCTGGGTCATGTAGGGTGGGAAATACATTGGGACTTGGTGTTACTTGAACAAAGAGGTAATTGACGTATGGACTGGTTCAGGACTGTCGGTTTTAATTCCAAAGATCCCTTCAGTATAAATGGGAGGTGGGGTGGGGTGGGCGCTATGCTGAGTATGGGTGGGAAAGAAATTTCTTTCTTGAAGTCCTTTTTTCTGACATACCTCTCTCTCTCTTGCATGAGCATTCATATTGTATTATGTTTGGTTGCTAGCGACTGTTATCTTAGGGTCATCTGAAAATTAATTTACAAGCTCTTTATCGGTTTCTCAATCATTAATAAACATATACATTATTTACAGCTACTTAAAAATGTGCTTGTATTAATGTGCAAAATTGTTGACTTCCCAATTAATTGATATAAGAGCCCATCAAACATTTTATAACTCCTTTCAATAATTCTTTCCTCCCTTTATCTAATAACCTACATGCAGGATTAAATGCCTTCCCTTCAGCAAACCTATTTATTTTCCAACTTAGGACTCGGTGGCAGTCATTTGGCTGCTAACAGCACTAAAAATCATCACTGCAGGAGAGAGCCAAGATTTACCATAATCCTGTACCTCAATAAATTACCAGAATGTGCTGCATCTTTCATGTACTTTTGCAAATAAGCAAAAGCTGAATTATCTTGGGGTAGAATACAATTTTCACTTAAAACACATTAACATTTGGATCTCTTCAGAAATTTTCATTAAAGGATTGCAAACCACTTTGGAAACAAATTAAGGTTTATAATCCTCTCATTCCTGTTGCTATAGTATATCCTAATTTTTCTTTGTTGTCCCAATAGACTTGATGATGGGCTGTGGCAGTCCTTGGTCTCCTCCATTATAAATGGACATGTAGTTGTGTGTGTGTGCTGTTCATCTCGTCATACTTTTACTTTAAATTGGATTACTACAGTGCAGTCTATGTGGGGCTGCCCTTGGGTTTATAAACTCCAGCTGGTGCAGAATGGTGATCAGGGGCATCTTGCTGACAACACATGAGACTTTTGTTGAAACATCTGCACCGGCTGCCCATCCACTACCAAGTCAGGTTCAAGGTCCGTGTATTAATTTACAAAGCCCTGTACAACATAGGTAGAGGGTACCTCAGGGACTGCTTGAACACTTATATTCCAGCCCAGCCGCTGAGATAATCTGCAGCGGCATTTGTATTAGGAGAGGGGTAGTACATCTGCTGGGAGAAATGTCACATTCCTTCTGGGGTATCTTGTCCACCTTTGATCTCCACCCAGTACTCAGCTCCCACCTGTGGCTCCTAGAAGCTATCAGCATACAACAGCAGCCACCCCCTAGGAAACAGCTTTAACTGGCCAGCTAAACCAGGTGAGGCTAGCTGATAGGTCTCAAATCCTCGGTGAGTTAGGGACTTTCCCTGCATTTGAACACATACTCTTGTGGATTGAGTGGACGAAACCAATTGCGTGTCAAGACCCCCAAGCCAGCCCCCGTTAGAATAAAAATTCACACTGACACAGAATTTTGGTTTAAGGTTAATGGGCAAAAAATTAGGCCACAACTTTATTGATTACAGCAAATGTGAGCGGTATTGGCTTAGGTATTGGCAAAGGACTATATTGGACTCCTGCCCCCTTTGCAGGAAGTCAGTAATGGTAAACCACTAAAAGAGGAAGCTACATCGGGGGAACCCGCCTGTAGCTCTCCTTGGTGTTCCCAGAGGCCTGGCATGGCCCTAGCCCCTCAAGTGGACTTCGGACAGGATCCAGGCCCCGGATTCCTTCAACAGAATACCCTTGGTCAATGGAGGGGCAGGCGATGGTCGACCTCCCCTCCCCCACAAATCAGTGAGCCAATGCCTAATCACCAAACCTTACAAAGTTGTGATGATTGCTAAGAGGTAGGCGAAAACCAAGTGGCCAGGGCCAATCTGCCAAATGGAAAAATTCCTACCTGGCCCCCATCCCAAGAGAGAAGTGAGGGGCAGATGGGGCTCATCAACCTAGAAAGGTAGCTCATCTAGGAGAAGGAAGACTCTGATCCTAAACCTATGCTGCCTTGCATAATAGCTTTGGGAAAAGAAAAAGTTAAGGAGTAAACCCTGCACAAATCCAGAGTGTATTCCCTAAGACAGTTGGGTGGCACTTGCATGCTGCTTCCGGCAACTCCTGCATCCAAGCTGGTGCCCAACGCATTGCTTTCCTTTCCTTTGGACTGCGCCAGTGAGGCCAAGAGTGGGGTCTTGTCATCTGAGCAGCCCAGGAATCTCCATACACACTGCCCAGGCTTGTACCCTAGAGAGGTCACTTTGATGCTGCTAATTGCGGCAGTTTGACTTCACCCTTGAAGGCACACTCCATTGTTCCCTGAGACAGACGAATGTCAACAAGGGATTCAGCAGGCACCTTCTATCCCAACTTTTCAAGGCCTGCTGAAAACTTTTGTATCCTGTCAGACTTATACAAACAATTAAGAATATATCTTTCCATAATAGTTAATTTATTTCTGATTTTAACTTTTTATATAGTTTTATGGTATAGCTTTATGTGTAATTATTGTAAATGCTCTGATTTTCTAAACAAACAAACAAATAAATAAATAAATAAATAACAGTGTATGAATATTGTTATAAATAAAATAATGAATAAACTTAACTTCCCAAAACCTTACCACAGCAGCAATGTGATTCCTCCTTGGGCCTTCATTATGTACTAAAACCTAATCAGCATATGGGAAAAAATCTTTTTGAGTTTCCTTTGCTAATCTGGACATTAAATCCTTTTCCAGAAATTATGTAACCAGATAAACTAGGTTAGTTTAAGTCAGGGTGCATAATGCGTTCCCTTTTAGACAGAATTCTTACTAAAACTTTCATAACTAAGAGTTGGTTGAAGTTAGCAAAATAAAGGAATGCTTGGGTGGGGGCTCTTCACTGCTTGGTGGGGGCTATAGTACCAAATATTACTCAAGATTCCTATACATGTTTTGAAAGTCAGGCCATTTCACGTAGCCCAAGATGGCAGCAGCTGCATAATTCTAAAGCCACCTACTTCTCTTATTTCTGCCTTTATGTAGAATAATAGTGCAAAGAGAGAGCTAATGGTTCTGCCACTCCTTAAAATTTAATTAATTGATTGATTGATTGATTAATTGGGAACCATTAATTAATTAATTAATTAATTAACACTCTGCCTTTTTTCCTGACAGGGATTCAAGGCAGCTTATAGATAAAAACTGTAGAGTTTTCTCTTCAAGTATTTTGGCCAATTAGAGCTGGCCAAAAATGAATACATGTACTAAAGCTTCATAGCTGAACTTCTATCAAGTATCAAGATTATTAGCATCTAAACCGGTAATTTTATGAGGGCAAGCAGACCTAGGAAGACTTGAACTCGGAAAATGTGTAACAAACCATTAATTGCCTATGTGTAACAAAGGCTTCAAAAATAAATTTACCATGATGCATACTTTGTTAGTACTGGCTACTTTTGTCGACTTTGGCTCCCAGCACCTGAGTTTTCCTTTGTCAAGTGGAGCCCAACTAAGACTGTCAATTTGGCCAAAGAAGCTGTGGTCAAAATTAGTCAGGTGTCTCACAGTTCTTTAAGGGGTGAAAGCCATGAACTATTTCGTGTTGTATTCATCAGCTTTCATTGTCTATGCAGATGAAGAGGTTTCTAGCTCTCTTAGATTAGAGTTTAGTTACTGCTATCACTATTGGTAATCATGCAACACGATCACTTGCTTTTAAAAAGAACAGAAATCTGTGTAGTTGTTACTGGCAGTTAATTTAGTGGGCCTAGACACCTGGCAGCAGGAGCGAAGCCTGTCTTGCATGGCCCACTGGTGAGCGCTTGGCTTTAGAGAGTTTTACGATGTGGGCATTTACCTTATTTGCACTGCCCATATTCATATTTGCTGTGAACGAGAACATTCGCGCTGTTTCTCCTGAATCACAGATTTTGTTCACCCTCAATGTACTTCACACTCCAAGATAGAAACTACAGGACACCCCTGCCTCCCCTCCCGCCCCCCAAAATGAGCTTTGCTGGCAGATGACACATCAAGCTTGGCAGAAAGTCTAGGAAGAGGACAGTGAGTTGAAAATTTATTTTTCCGTATAGTAGCCAAGCGAGAGTATCATTTGCTTTTTCATCTCTTCAGGGGCTTGGTTTTCACAGGCTTTTGTTCTCCCTACAACTCCCTTTTGTCCTTAAATAATAGCTGGCTTGCTCTCCCGCTCCTTTTTTAAAAAATGAAGATCTCTATGAAGCCTATAAACAGCTTTTAATTTCTTAGAGATAATGTCCAACCTTATCAATATCCAGGATACTTTCATTTCTGCTCTTCCTCGAGTGAGTAGGAAGAATACTCAGGGGCTCACTTTTTCAGGTCTTTTTAGGTGGGAGATTTTTCCTGAGCTAAATGTAAAAAACTTGCTCAGTGGTAAATTTAC